CACACACACACACACATGACTGACACACAGGCACATTCTTCATTTGAACACACATGGGTATCAGACAGGCAAACACAGAGACAGATGCTGACGGAGATGACTCATGGTGTTAATATAATCACGATTGGCAGGCGAACTAAACAAAATGATTTTGTAGCGTCCTCCACTCTCTCTATTCTTTCCAACGGAGACATTTTTAACCTAACTGTAGGTCTGAACAGATTATAATAAATCTTCACTCAGCCTGTGCAACCAAGCCCGCACATGTCTGCACTCTGTGCTAACCTTCAAAATACGCGAGCATAAACACAGACCCACAGACAACAGAACAATATGCGTTTCACTTCAAAATGCAAACAAGGGAGAGCGGTGTCCTTCATGGATGTATATATGGCCTGAACTTCCTGTCGAGGAAATGAGTAGAGTTGGTGTGTGTGTGTGCATGTGTGTGTGTGTTTGCTACATAAATGGACTGTTCCATAATGCATAGCCCTCAAGACCACAAACAAGGCTCTTGTGCAGCACAGCCAGCCGAGCAGCCCGTCAGCCAGCTGGAGGTGAAGCTCCATATAGGAACCTTTCTCCTGTCTGCCTCGTATCGGCTGGTCCACAGCACATGCGATGAAGCAACAGCCCCGATGGCGCCACTGGCGCACATAGAGAAAATCAAGGCCAATAAATAATACATATTACTCCCAAAGGAAATGGCTTGTCTGTGATCATTATGATGTATTGTTTACAGACAAAAATAATATTATCTCATTACAATATAAAGCGAGTGTTGTCTGTTAAGCAATGCAAACACTCATCTACTCTCATCGATCATTTAATGCCCACTCTACTTTTGGCCAGAACTCTCGCAGAAACATTTGTTCTGCTTCGCCTCGAGTGAACTCGTGCAGACTCCCACACAGAGTTTGATGTATCTGATCCTTTGGTATGCATAATTACAGACCAAACATACAGCGACAGACAAAAATAGGATAAAACAAGTTGACAAATGGGAACACACACACACACAAATGGACAAACATTCGCATGCACGAGATTCACAGTGAGAGGTTTGGCCCTGATAATTGAGAAAGTCAAGCCAACTTGAAGCAAGTGTTGAGCTTTAGCTTTCGACCTTTATTTCAAGAGGAAATAAGGATCTTAAAAGTAGGCAATTATCAGAGCCAGGAAATAGGTGGAGAAACGTTTTGAGGTGTAAGTGAAATACATGTGAGGATAAAATCTTTTTTTGACATGCAGAACCAAAGTGTGGCACTGAAAAGTTTTCCCAAAGGAGCTGGAGAGAGACGTTACAGAGGGAAGAGAGGAGGCGGGAGACAAACCCTCCCCTGCTTCTGGAGTCTGGAGACACTCGAGCTGCTCTGGGAGCTCCACTTCCGCCTGAGAGTTATAATAAGTCTTCTGCTAACTACCCCGTTATCTGCTCTGAGCTTTCAACAGCTTGCCAATCCCAATAATATTATGGAATATATGCTCCCTGCTCTTATGTTACATTGTTTTGGATGATGACTGTGATGGTTCATCTGATATTTGAGCAGCGTCCCGGTGGGAGGGTTTACCTTCCTTAGAGGTCATTGCAATTACATAATCCAACAGTTTTAGACAAGAAAACAAAAAGAGAAAGGAGAAGGGGATAGTTTTCAAGTGTATATACCTGGAAGCACCATCAACCAAGCAGTGTGATAGGAGATCCCGATAGAATTACCCGCCAAGCACGTATACTCCCCAGCATCTTCAAATGTTACATTGGGCAAGTAGAGAACTTCTATCTCCTTATCTGTGGTGTTAACACCTGCGGTCTGGGAGAGGAGAAGAGGAGGAAGAGCAGGAAGAGGAGGAAGAGAGGGTCAAAGATAAGGAACGGAAAAGAGAGACAGGGAGGACGAGTCACAGAGAAGGATGAGGGAGGACAGAGAAAGAGAAACAAAATGAGACCCACAACACCAGGAGAGAAATAAGAGGAACTGGATGACGTCCGTTGTGGAATTCCCATCTAGAGCAAAGGATTATGGGAGTTTCCATGGGTGGCTAGGGGGAGGCTTCATAAGTAAAGACATAGATAGAGCCCAGTATGCCACCAAAACACAGGAAAATTTAGTCAATGCACCAAAAATAAAAACCCAAAAGGTTCCCATCACCAACAGAACCTGCTAAAAGAGACCAGTCCACACTGGTCTGGTCACATGCACAAACAAACATAGAGAGCATGGAGAGCACTGCACTGCAACACCATACAGCATCTTGACACAGCTTGCTACACAGGTGGAGATGGATACAATTGAAAGAGAAGAAAGAAGGAAGAGGTGAGACGCTAGCTGTGACAAGGTGTAGGTATGCAGGTCCGAGCAGTGCTTCCATGGCTGCACACAGTCTCTACAGTGGAGGGAGCAGCTGAAACACAAAAGGTCCAACATTAAGGGGGAACAGAGGGTCAGTGAGGCCCAGGACCACCAAGAGACCACCAGCGGGATCACCACCACAGCACAGCAGGTCAGGGACGAGGCCCAGGAAACCACACCGGGAAGGAGGGTAGATGGAGTCGAGTCTCAGGGGGTTACCTGGGATGACAGTCAGCCAGCCCGACTGGTTGGCCTCGCCTATATAATTGGAGACTTTACAGATATACTCTCCGGCATCGTCCTCGGTCACGTTGGTGAGGGTGAGCACCTCCACGTCCGAGCTGTTAATACCTGAACGCTGCAATCCACACATACACATATCAAGACTCAAACATGGTAAATCTAAATAAATACGTATTATTAATCAGACAGGCATGCAAATATCTTGACTACAGCTACTGGATATGGATCTGCAGGATAGAAGAGACAGCAGGAATCACCACCAAGTGCCAGGAAGGGAAAGACCTATCAGCTAATAAGGAAGGAAATGTAATGATTAGTTCCAGTCTGAGCTTTGAATATATCCGAAACACCTGAAACCAAGAAAACAATAACAAGAGTGAAGAATTTGATTCCAATCAAGAGGATAAACTGAAAATGAAGAAGTGAAGGAACGTACCTTTAGCACACGGACATAGGGGTGTCCATCTGGGCCATAGCGACTGCCGTTCTGAGTGATGTGTTTCAGCCACTGGATGTGAGGCTGGGCGTCGCTGTAGACCTTGCAGACAAAGCGGGCATCCTCTCCCACATGCACAGTGGTGTTGGCCGGGAGACCAGCCTGGAGAATGGGCCGGTGAGGGGAGCGTTCTGTCGGGAGCAAGAAAATGCTGGTGTTAAAACTGGGTATTACCATGTAAATCTGACACCTTTAACAAAGTGCAAACCGTTTGAGAAGTGCACAACTGCATGTAATGTGAATGTTTCCCAACAATCCTGACACTTAAAATCTAACTGCACCTCTTTCTTATCTCTGAAGCATTTAAAGGCTTCACACTAGAGATGGGGAGCATTTTATCTCTGAAACAAAAATAACTGCATGAGAAGGAAGAGGACTCCTCATGAGTAAATATGTATATGTTGCATATGAGGGAGGAGGTTAAACTATCATGCACCAGTGTAACAAGTGAAACACCTTGGTAGCACCCCCACATCCATCCAGCTCTCTGCATTCTCTTACATGCAAACATTAGGCTGTGAATCCAAACAGAGCGAGACCTGTTGAACAATGCCCCCTTTCAAAACACTGCAAGGCCTTCACAACCACACGGATGAGCCCACCAACCCCCACACTGACGGCAACCACCCGCTGCCACCCCACACGCACACACACATAATGACATCACTCAGCCTTGGGCAATCCACTGACTTTCCAAAACAGAGCCTTAAGGCTTAAGGTAGGTGCAGTCAGTGAATTCATTTGTGCTTTGTGTGAGTGTGTGTGTGTGTGTGTGTGTGTGTGTGTGTGTGTGTGTGTGTGTGTGTATGTGTGTGTGTGTAAGGTCGGGGGTGGGTCATGGGGGATGGTCAGAGGGGTGAGGCTGTGTGATAAGGGGAGGCTGGGTTTAAGACTGAAAAAGGGAGAAAGCATTAGGAGGGTGAAAGGGGGGATCAACAGATGGAGAGTAGAGAAAATAAGAGCWGAGATCTCGTCCGTGTCTCCGACCGCCTGCCTGTCTTCCACCTCCATCTTTCTCAAATCTGTCAGATCAGATGATTCCCACCCCACCTTCTCTCTCCCCATCTCCCTCCTCCTCCCTGCACATTCCTAGGACCAGCCTTGTTTATTGTCTCTCTATCTTTCTTTCCCCCCTATTTTCTCTCCTCCTCCATCTTACACAGGCCTTTTTACACTCTCAATCTTTCCTGGACAGAAAAGTAAACCCACAAATAAAAAACAGTCTGAGAAGATTACTTGAAAAAGGGCAGAAAGTAACTACTATTGATGTTGTGTGGAAACAAACTCAAGTTCGACAACTGTGAGAGATATTTTCATTATAACCATCATTATTTTAAAATTCAAGCTGGGCTGTTTAAAGCTCCACAGCAAGACAATTCAGACCCAATGACAGAGAGGGTGTGTGGTGCAAGAAAATAGGCCACTTCATGATTATAGAGAAACCCCACAATAAAAGTTTGTGGAGCAATTCTTGATTAAATTAAAAAAGGAATTTAAGAAAAAAAGTATGTGTGTGTGTTGGTGTTGAGCAAGTGTAGTTATTTTATGGCCCATCAACCTCACACAGAAAAACTGCACTTACATCGGGAAAAACAGAAAGAGAAACACAATAAGATGACTATAAATTATTGTCTTCTCAGTCTGCAGCATGGAGCATGAAGGAATGGTGACATAAAAAACCAACAGGTCCAAACTGAAAGAAAGAGCAGACGCTGAGCTGCTTGTGAATGTTTTGCTGTGACCAACATGTAGTGACCCGTTTCAAAACTGAGTCCGTTTATCAATTAAGTAATTAGTTGAGTAATTTGGCAGCAGCGGTGGTGGGATGGTGGCAGAAAGAAGCATGAGAAGACAGACCAGGGGCATTCCATGGCGTCCCATGCGAGACTGGTGAACTCTGGGTAACCTGGAGGCTTGGCACACAGGGCCCTAAGGGTCGGGGAGGGGCAGAGGCACAGGAGGGGCGCTGCATGGCACAGGATGGCATGGGGCTGCCGACAAAGTGCCGCACGGTCGTAGGTTGCCACAGTTCTGACTCAAACAGCCACAATGTCTGTTTTGACGCGTCCTGTGTGTCTGCTCGCGGATGTCCAACTGCGGCCTGTTGTCCAGAGGCCAGTTTGAACCAGAAAAAGCCGGCTACCTCTTGCTTTTAATGGCTGATCCTGCAAGTCACTTGGACAAAAAAAAGACTGATAAGAACAACCTTTTCTGTCTGTTTCCCCACTTTCTTTTCTCTGTCTTCCCCCTCTCCTCCCTCTATCCACCCAGTATAATGGAGGAAAATGAGGCAAGAGGTTGGAGGGTGCAGTGGCTGTGGAGCCAGACGTGGAGGGGGTTTACTGCTCTGCAATAAAACAGAACAAAAAACAGAAATATGCAGTCTGAAGGAGAGCTTTAGCTAACTCCAGAGGGGAGCAGAGCAGGGGGCCTGAGTTGGGGAGCATGTGTGTGGGTGTGTGTGTGTGTGTGTGTGTGTGCGTGCGTGTGTGCTTTTGTGCATATGCCTATATGCTCATTGAGCAAAAACCCTCAGGTATTCATAATACTCTTTATTACCATGGAGGCACTATTCAAAACATCAGTGTGTAATTACAGTAGGCCTGCTCAGGACAATGGAGACACTCGGAGTGACCAGTGGTCCCCACATGTTATGCTGAATCATTTGTCCAAGTCGCATGTCTGTCCCTGTTATCTCTGGATTATTGACCTGACTTCAGAAGAAGAGCTGTGTCAGATTAACTTTGATGTGTACCGATCGCTTCTATATTGGTTCGAGTGAGGCCAAAGGAGAACTGGTGTGTATTGAATTAAGGGCAAAGTTGCACCACACACACACACACACACACATATGCATATATTGATCTTCTATCTTTATCCCACTCCCCTTGTTGTCCCTGTTGTCTATTGATTCTGCAAACCGAGCAGAAAAACACTCTTTGCTTTCTGCACTCCAAAGGTCAAAGTGAGGGGTTGGTCGAGTTTGATCTGAACTCGCTGTCATAGTGCCGAGGTCTGCACTGTTCTCAGAAAGAGACACTCAACAAGTACCTGCTACAGGTTTAGTTAGCCATCATACCTGAGCTGACCCTAAAGGGCTATTTTAACCAAATCAAACCTACACCAATGAACATGTTTTTCTGCTTATTCATTGTGGTTTTGAAGTGTGCAGATAATTTCTGTTTTATAAGCCATAGTTGGGGTGCTTCAAGAAGTAAAGAGGCTGAACAAAATGTGAGGAAATATAAAAGATAGATAGAAAAAAAGCGGTCACACTGAAAAAGTGTTTTTATGATTTGGGTTAAATTGTCCTTTAAATAAAAATGATATAAATAGTTGTATGTGTATTTCTGTTTAGATGGGTGGGGTTTGCACAAAATGTTTGTAAAACAATACTGATGGAAATGTAAGGATTTAATACAATAATATATTACGTATTATTATATAAATGAATGAAAATGACATAAAAACCATTCACTCATGTTTAGCTTCCGTTCGCTTGGCAGCACTTCTTGGCCTGCACCTGCATCTAGCATGCACCTGGCCAATCGAACAGCACACACCCACACATACACACTCTTCTCGCTGTGAGAACTCTTTCAGCTGGCCTCCTCTCCCGTTCCTCCACCTCCCTCTTCCACCATCCCCCCAACTCCACCTTTATTGGCCTCACAGGTGTCACTGTGTGCTGTGAGAATGTGGTACTGACCCACTACATCCAAGGTGTAGGTGTGGTTGATGGCTCCGAACTCGTTCTCCACCAGACAGGTATAGTTGCCCTTGTCCGACGGCACCACGCTCTCCATGATCAGGGTCCAGTGCTGGCTGCGCACCTGGGTACGAGAGGCAGGGGATTCTTGTTAGGAGAAGCAAACACAGAACTGCAGAGTAGAGGACTTCACAGAAACAAGGAACTAGAGTGAAGATCGATGATTAAAAAATGACATGAGGGGATTTGGTTGCAGGAGTGAAAGACGAGAGCTGGTTAAATGATATTAAGTCTGATGACAGCCTGATTCAAACAGAATGACTCTGCAACAGCAGAATATTTACCTCCATTAACAAAGTTAAGTTTGTGAGCTAACAGGATTAAAACTACTCAACCGATTTCCATAAAATGAAAAGAAATGTTCATAGTGGGACGGTTGGCTTTTGGCGGAGGTTTGTGCTCTACTGAGTATAACTCCAGTTTTTATTATTCTTTCATTTTTATTTCTATATACCACTGCTTTGAGAGTTTATTAAAACAAACAAGGAGCAATTTTTATAAAAAATAATTCCACCTAGCACAGTCCTCTATACTTCCCTGTAACTGTTTAATTCTTGAGAGAGTCACTTCTATCTTATGTCGTAAAGTCCACCTGTCCAGTCTAAGCTGTTTCAAATACACACTTATTCATAATGATTTGTAAAAATAGCTTCACCTCTGTGTGGAATCCACAGGTGTGAGCTAACAATAGTGTTTCCGTAGGGACACAGTAGCTGCTGCTTTTACAGGCCTACATTTCTGACAATGGAGAGATTAGGCCACAGGGCTGGGCTCAGGTACGGCTTTTGTCCGGCACTTGTTGACAAAAAGAGAGAAACGAGGAGCCCACAGTGTATCTGACAGCCCGACTGTAACGTTTCCGTTACGCCGGGAGCAGTTTTTTGTCTATGCTGCGACGAGCCTGCCGAAATCCAAACAGAACGACATTAGCAGCTACGTCAACATGATCCGCTCCTAAACTCCCCTGACAAGGGAGACGTGTTTCCTCATAAACCATAAGGCATAAGCCAGAAGCGTCCGACTTGTTCAGCACCACTGGATCTTTTCATAAATTAATTTAATTACTGTCTGTTTAATCTGTTATTCCACTCCGTCAGCACAACTCCAGCATATACAGTAAAACGCTGCTTGTTTTCAGAGGCAAACCAAGGAATTTTGGAGCAAAAACACTCAGATACAATCCAAATAGAATCCGTCACGGGGGAGAAATTCTTCACATTCAGACTAGTCGTAGCTGATTTCAAGGAGGAAATAAAACATAACAAAAGTAGCTTCACTTTCCCATGACATACAGAATCAGGTATTTTCACCACACGCAAATCAGCTCAGCCCATTATTTTATCCCCTAATGGGACTTTGGTGAGAGATTTCAGAAGTCAAACAAAGCGGTTTGTTAGAAACACAGCACTGTCCATAGAAAGTAATTTAAGTTGATGATTGAAATGGAATTAAAGCGTTGACCACTGAAATTATCATTATTCTGCTCTTACTTCCAGGAATCAGGGGGTGTTGATTTGTAGTTTTAGTGTGTCTGTGTGGTTTGCTTTATGAACATCGTGTAAACAAAGAGTCACAACCTGCACTGCACATCAAGCTCCTTCAGTTTAAACTTTAACCAGCTCAGCTATAGTGTTTGTAAATCACATTTCATAACAATAGAATCATATGCTGGAATCACACAGTCTCCGAGCAAAGCCAGTGGGACCTGTTCTCCCTGATTGAGTTACCTCAGCTATTCTCAACTCATTTCAACCCTGACGCTACCTACTTTCTCTATACGTTACTGTCCGGGGGCATTTAACCCATAAGTCCCGGGCTTAGGTTTCTAATTGTTGGGGCTAAGGAACCATTTCGAGTTACAGTGAGAGGTTCTGCAAAGTATCCTGTTGAGAGGAGGCGCACGGATGAGCAATTCCAATTTCACACCAGAAATCCTGCTCTCGTTCCTCTGTCTACACTCATCCCGTCTCTCCAGTGAAGGGTGGAAAAGGGGTGAAAGGACAGCCGGAGAATGATTGGAGGATCGGAGACCTGACGTCCCTTGTAAATACATTCACAAACTAGCCAGATGCATTGTGGGACAGAAAGTGAGGGAAGGCATCTGGGTTTACATTTGTAATAAAAAGAGTGATGTATGACTGTTTATCTTACCTTATACCCTCCCATGCGGTCTTCTTGGCGGAAAGGCCTGCTGTTTTTAAGCCAGCGCAGCTTGGGCCGGGGGTTGCCTCCTGCAGCACAGCGGAACTTCACTGTGTTGGCAGCTGGCACTGCATGCAACTTCTTCTCCATCTTCGCTGATGAGGTCCAATAAGGAGCGCCTGCAACCAGAGAACAGTCGGTGTTCTGGGTCAGTTTCCCTAATCATGTCCTTAACAGTTTGGCTTCAGGGTCTTGATGTGGCAAACGCAGCAATACGTGGAAGTGCGACAGCAGAGGGCCCAAACCTGGACCTTTCCTATAGCTCTCCCAGTCCCAGAGGCACCCACCCCACCCCCCTACACCCCTGCACTAACTGACCCGCTGTCTGCAAAACACAACCCAGAGCTCACATAGTTAAATAAAAACATACTCTTTCCCCATAGGCTCAGCGGGGTGTTGAAGAAGGGGGGGGGGCATCAGCTCTAAGGGGAGAATGTGCCTGGGCGTTGCCAAGAGGGTAACTAGACCATCACATCCAATTTCATCTCATTCCACTTAGCAACTCTTTTTCTCCCTCCACTTCCTCCAATTACCATAGCTCCCCTGTTTATCTGTCACTTGGCTAAATATGGACGCAGGGCCACGGATGCTTATCACCCTCGGAAAATCATTATGTACTGTCAGGGGAGAAAATGAATGTCACGTTTAACACAGGACTCCAAAGTCATCGACACAAACTTAAGTCCAGATTTATCAATGCCACTCTGTTACAGTTTCTCTTCCATGTGTTTCGTCTGTTCCCTGTTTTTTTTTCTCTCCCAATTTCTGAATCTCAGTCAGCTGGATTTTCCTCCGAGCCCCCCCATCCGCCCGTTCTCCCTGCACCTGGGAGTGTGATTGCCTAAGCAGATGTGGCTCAGAGGGGAAGAGAAAGTCAAACAACAACCCAAACGGTCTTCCACACCATGATTTTCTCTCTGTGTAGCCTGAGCACAAGTGACAGAGGGAATACCCACAGATAAGACCTCTACCGACTTTAGTATGACAAACATAGGTTAACGTCCCAGGAGTGTATTTGTTTCAAGTGCCCTCCTCCGACTCTATTTCCTGCTTGTCCAATCTGCATACTATTAGACACCTCCCATCATTCTCTCTGGCACACACAACCGGACGAGTTGTGCATACTTGGATAGTAAAGTCAGTAAACAGTGCTTTTCCTTCCTGAATGGATGCATACGGTAAGTGCTGAAACTATAATTAGCCATTCCCCCTTTCTTCTTCTTCCTTCTCACTCTCACTATCTGCATTTCACTTCCTGCTTCTTCACCTCCCAGTCACCTCCATTCCTCTCCATTAACTCTTCCTGTCATCACTCCATCTGTTCAGACAGAGACAGATTAGATGGAGACTAGCTCATCGTGCGGCTGTCCCTCCGTAATGATCCCTGACCCCAAACTGGCAGGCAGGTCGGAGGATGGGGTTGGGACATGAAAGGTGAGCGGCGCTGTTTCCCATGCTCTCCGTCCGGAGGGGCAGCACTTCAAACGAGACGACCCTCAGACCTCTCTCCTGATGAGGCCAAACTCTCACTTGCTCAACTGCTGAGGCCTCCAGGAACCCCCGCCACCCCCAAAGCCCCGTGCATCCGGATCCCCACTCACTGCTGTTTATTCTAAGCTGGCCTGGGGTGAGCCGAGGTTTTGTAACCCCCATGCTATGAGTCAAGATTTTTTCCTTCGCCAAGTTCCTCTGGAGAGCTAAATCCACCAGTGACCCAAAGTCATTTTTCATTGTTGATACTCTCCTGTTTACCATTCATCAATGCAAGCTTAACTAGTCAGCTGTGTGTATGGACAGAATCTCTTTAAATTTAAATTAATTTAGTACTGGTCCTCTTCAAATGAACAGAGTTCAGATGTACAGGCCCACAGTTCCATTCACACTAAAATGAGGATCCACATTAGTCTGGTGTTCCAAACATGCCAATCTGATCCTACATTCCATCCAGTTGAAGGAATGGTTGTACCTGGACATGTTCAGTCAGACGTACACATAGGGGTCCATGGGTACCCTACCAGACATGGCTGGATGACAACCTTTTGTCACACTGACCATAGCGGACATGGAAACTCAATTTGCCTTCAAAGTCATGTCCCTGCAACATAAGAAAACAACCCTAAGCCCAACTCCAAAACCCTATGTAATCATGATGTCAACGATAATGAGTCGACAGCAAGGAGGCCAGAAAGCAAAACTCCACATGGCCCTTCATCATGACATCAGCACTACACTCTTCTCCACCTTCCCACCTTCATCCCCTCCTGCACACCCTCACCCGTCCCATGAACACAGCTTCCCTAGCAGATCCCTGGAGATGCCCTTCCACGTCTCCTCCAATAACACCACCCGCTGCTGACAATGGACAAACACTCTGGACCCGCTCCCTTTTTCATTTTAACCGCTTATGTTGTTCTCTCTTCTATACAAAGTCAAATCAAAATCCTCTGTTTCACAGTGGCCTGATGCCCGACCCATTCCAAGTGCTCCAGGACAGAGAGAAAAAGCCACTAACATAAAGCTACACCCGGCAGCCTCCGCTCTCATTCCCTCCCACGCCTAAATACACGCTCCTCCCTCGCTCCAGTCCTGGGCCCGAGGCCAAGGCTCCACGCCATGCTCCGAGAAGTGCTGGTGCTGATCCAACAAATCCCCCAGTCCCCTCCTCCTCCTGCCTCTTTCCCCTCTACTCTTTTCCCCCCCTTTTCTTTTAATAATAATTTCGGTTTTGAATCTCTAGAAAACACACACAGCGAGAAAATGTGACTATACTGCCAGAACAGCTTTCCCTTTGTTTTCAAACAGCTTATTACCACTAGAATGGCTGGATCTTTTCCCTCTCCCCCCGTTTTTTCCTCTAACAGAATTCCTCCCTCTCTCCCCCATATTTAATGGATTTCAGGCAATTACAGTCAGCCCAAAAGTGGAGGAGGAGGAGGAGGAGGAGGACTCACGGTGAATCAAAGTACGTGTGGAGAATTTTAACAAGATGTGGAAGCCCTCATCTTTGTTTCATCCCCCTTTTTTGAGTGTATGTGTATGTGAATGCACATAAACACACGACTACCCCAGATATCAACGCACAAACACACTTTCTATTTCACGCACACACTCATGTACACAGGCCCATCAGGTGGGTAACTGGGTCCATATGGGTGTCTTTCAAAATAGGTGAGCCCAGCTGACTGACTGGCTGGCTGTTTGGCTCCATGAGGCCTGACTACCTGAGAGACACTGGCTGAAGGAATGTCAGGAATCTCTGTATTCCCTGGAGCCATAGAGACACACACACACACACACACACACACACACACACACACACACACACACACACACACACACATACTACACACATACTACACACTCACTAAGTCTCAGTATAGGCCTGGACAGGAATGCTAAGGTATAGAATAGCAGAGATGTGGGTGCAGGGCAGAGCTGATATGAATTTTGGTCTTGTTTACACCTGTCTCCTCCCGATTTTGCAAAAGAACAGAGACTGTCTGCTTTTTTTCCTGCTTTATTCATCAACATACAGTCTGAACTGTGCTAATAAACACTGGCACAGCTAAGCAGATTGTTTTAAGTCTTTGTAAGTATTTGGTTATAAAAATTAAGCATACCAGACTTAAATTCTGTCAACTGTTCATTCACTTTGTAGACCAAGACCGAAAGATATGGAGATATATGTTACTTAAAATGTTAATTTGTTTTTTAAAAAAGGTTATTAAGTCATCTCTGTTTGTTTCACTAAAATCCTACCTTATATATTATCTTATATTCTGACTTAACAGTGACAGATCAGATGTAAAAACACCACCATGACATATAAAGGAAGGGCTCACAGGCTTGTTTACAATGTGTAGTTCATCTAAAGTGTGTCTAATGGTGTGGAAGGACAGCAGCCATCACTACTCATGCATCACCCCGTTTCTTCTTCCCATACTCACTTATCTGCTCTCCGTCCGCTCCGGTGTCCTCCGATCGCTCTGTGTCGTCCTCATCATCTCCTGACGAAATGGCATCTGCACAGAGTAACCACGGTTACTGCCATCCCTCCGCAACCGGAATTACACACAAGGTATTGCATGCAGAATTTTTTCATGCATTCACACATTCTCAAGAAAACACAATAGTGGGGAGATTTTTCAGAATCTGGCCACTGTTGTACAGTTGTACACACACACACAACATCATCCCTGATCACATCTGTGCCACGGCCACTACCAGGACACTACATCTCCACACTTCCTGTCCCAATCTGACCTGTCCTATCCTGCCTGATCCCTGACTCACCTGTGACATTCACTATGAAGCAAACCGTGTCTTTGCCAACGCTGGTGCAGGCGTACAGGCCCGAATCCTTGGGCGTGGCATCACGGATCTGCAGCACCTCCTGCTCTATCAGCGTGCGGTTGTTGGTGCCCAGCGAGCTGCCGTCTTTGGTCCAGGTGATGGTCCCCGTTGATGGCAGAGGGCAGCTCAGCTTCAGCAACTCCCCTGGGTGCACTGAGCACACCGTGGGCTTAGAAATTTGGTATTTGTTCGATGCTTCTGCAGAGCGAATGGGAGGGGTGAAGGTAAAGGGGGGGGGTAAGGGAAAGGTCGGATTGGAGGAGGAAGAGGGTGCACAAGAAAAGGAAAGAGAGGTGGGAGAGGAAGAAACAAGCCATAGTGTAAGAAACAAAAACACCATAATAACCCCCAATGGATGCAATTAAAATCAACTTATGCAAGAGGAGCAATACAGAGAAGAGGAGGCCCATTTTTTAAAACCATCACACCAACATGTCGTTACCACAAACTCCCAGTGAGTCATCTGAGATGGAGCCCTTAAAGAATACCATGGTTTTGTTATTGATGACTGGTACAGCGTGATTGGCATTTATAGATTCAGAGCATGCAGTAACGGCCAGAGCAGCATATGTAGAAAATAAAAAAATAAAAAACATTCAATGCTGCGAGCTGCGTTGACAGACAACCCCCCCGCCCAAACAACCACCCCTCCCTCTTAGCGAAGATGCCAAGCAGCCGGTGTGTGTGTGGGTGAGTAGCAGCAGCACAGACAGATTTCTTAAGACTAAAAAAAAGGTCATAAAACTCCAGCGCGTCTGCCCATCAGAAAGGAAAGCAGCCAGAAAGGTCCAGGACGGAAGCAGTTGTCAGGCAGGGATAAGGAGGGGGATCGGGGGGGGGTGTGCTCTCTTTTTTAATTTTTTTGGCTTTTCTCTGGTTTTGACTCAGCGCCTAAGCTTTAGAAAACATTGACCTGGCTGTAGCCTGACTCTTCTGTTTTCCATCTCTCCCTACTGCATTTTCTTTCATAACACGGCTATGGAGGATCTACAATCCCAGTGCCTGATCCACCGGCCAAGGCACAGAGCGAGAAACTCCGCGAGACTCCAAAGTGCATAAAAACCTTCACTTCTGGGAGGAAATCCAAGTCAGCCAGTGAGTGGGTGGGTGCGTGTGTGTGTGTGTGTACACCCTGTCCTCTGACTTGTACAACAGCAAAGGGAGAGCAGCGTGAATGTCCAACGTATAAAAGTGGCCAGAGCTGGAGCTGAAACTCTCCATAAGGACGGATTTTTTTAACTTTAACCATTTAAAGCATTGACTGTGACTAAATGTTGAGTAATAAGGGGGAAAACCTGCCTGAAATACAAGCTGGCTACTGCCATATATATCAAACCTGATTCCATTCAGCCTGAGGCACACACACACACACACGCAAATTGTTCACTCATTAAAATGTAAAAAAATCCGAAAAAAAGTCAGAGTTACAACCATCAAATTTCTTCTTTATTGAAGAACTAAAATGTGTGTGTGTTTCTTTAGCAGGAGATTATGGAAAACAGCAAAAAGAGAGTGGGATTAAAAAGATTTCGGGGGGGGGGGGATTAGCAACAGTGGAAAAGCATAACTGATGGAGGTGTACATAGAGTTTTCGGCTGAAGGCTGATAGGTGTAATTAAAGAGGCGGCACTCTCAGCCTTTCCTGTAACTCACTGCACCTTTATAACAACATCCCACCTCCACTGCAGTATGTGCTGCTGCCCTGAGTGTGTGTTTAATGTAAATAGTACACACAAACTCGCCCCAACAGGAAGGGAAAGTCATTCCGCCACAAGCCAGCGGTCCAGACAAGTGTGTGCGCCTCTAAACAATCCCTCTGGGCACATAGACTCACAGGTACACTTCCTGTATTGTCATTTTCCCACTTCTCTTCAATCCAGTAATAATTAACCCCTCCCTCACCACCAAGGACAGAGTGTGTGGTCTGATAAAAGGTGGAGCCCCCACACTGATTGATGGGAGCTGTCTCCGCTACCTTTTTTACGACCTGCTTTTCCACACCGGAGGCCTCTGACATTATTACTGGCTCCACCTTTTTCCTTTATTGTTTGATTTAGAATCTTAGAAACCCTGGAGATGTCGTAACCACCAGGACACAAAGCAGTGCAGGAGGTACAGTGTGTGCAGGGGAGCTCGCAGGTACCGACAACATCAACACACCGGGGGTGCTAAATGAAGCGGGCCAAGCAACACAACACCTGGAATGTACATACGCACACACAGGCTGCGATATCTGTCAGCAAGTCAAAAAGAAAGGACGAACACTGAGGTACTTCATAGAAAGATGATACTCATACAAGGAGGAGTCTGAGGAAGACAGAGAGATGTAAGGAGGGAAAAGAAGTACAAAGTGAAGGAAGGGAGAAGGAAAAACAGGAAGGGACTCGTTCCAAATGGTGCATCTGATTAAAGAAAGCATGCAAGTGTTAGTTCTGCCTTCATCATTTTCTTATCTCCGCTGTGTCCATCTGTCCTCCTCCGTCAACTCCTCCTTCCCCCACTGCTGCTGCCTCTTCTCCCTCTTTCACCTCCCCTTCCGCTCTGCCCCATTCCCACATATCCCACCGCCCCCCGACCCCACACCCACCCCGCTGACCCCGCTGACCTCAGCCTGACCCTTCCCGAACCTGTTGACACCTCCAGCATGCCCGATTGTTCATGGGAACCTGTGTCATGCAAACGGTGCACACACATGGTGAATGTAGCAAGAACCTCAAGGAAGATTGCACACACTCAGATACAGAGCTACACTTAGAAGTGTGTATCATACACACTCACACACACACACACACACACACACACACACTCACACTCACACTCTCTCTCTCACACACTCACACACACACACCTTGCTCTACTAGAAGAATTTAAAAGAGTCCAGGGATGCGTGCTGAGCTGAAGAGCTGGAACACTTCGCTGCAGATTTTTCATCTCTACAAAGTTTCATCCCGCTCTGCACCACAGGAGGGAGCAGGGGCCTCTATCCTACACACACGCACACACACACACACACAAATGCACTCACACATTTTTGCTCAATTTTGATCAAGCAGCTCTCTCCTCTGCCCTCCCTCCCTCCCTCGTCACTATCATCCTGCCTCTCTTCTTCTCAAGCACATCTCCATTTCAAAACTCATCTCCCTCTTTTTCCTTCTCTGACAGCTATTACAAGTGTCTATCAGATGTCATAGATTCGGGCTGTCCACTCATCGCTACCTCTCCATCCTCGTTCACACCGTCTCTCGGCAGGCGATAATTAGTCTCGCAGCCTGAGAGTCTGCAGCAAAATGGAGAAAGTAATTCTTATCCATGTCTCCTTAATATCTGTCTGTCTGTCTTTAAAATCAGAAAGAGCCGAGCAGTGCTGTTGGCAGAGTGGCGAGGGCATGGTTTATAATTCAAACTCCAATAGCCCTGGAGTTTGTCTTTTACATAAATGTACTTCTGCAGAGAGGCTCATTCAACTGTTAGTCTATTCTGCCATCTCCTCCTTATGGCATTCTGCACAATGGACTAAATGAAATGACAGAGGTACATTTAGTCTCATGCATGCAGACCAACAGGCGACACACACTGCCCAATCACCTCATGTCTGCTGGCCCTCTTATCCCTCTTTTTGCCCTCTCCTCTTTCCTCTGCATCCTCCTCACGCACTCAAATCCCAGGACTTTTCTCCACTTTTTTGTCCCTCCCTGTTTTCTGACATCCTTTCACATTTAAATTCCTCTTTAGCTTTTTTTTTTTAATTCTGACAAAGGAGCAGCTCCATGCTGGCATCCATGGCAACAGCCCCTCCGGTCTGCCCACCCCCTTCACCCCCCATCAAGGCATTCCCTGAACCCCAACCGACCTCTTCAACCCACTGACTACCGCTTAGCTCCCAAAACCTTTTTAAGGATGAAGCTCTAGTGACCCTCAGAGATGTAATTTGCTCTGGCTTCTAGAGATTAATGTTCCGAACAGTTCAGAGTCAGATTAAGCCTAGTAACACTAAGGCTGCAGCTATAGATGTTTTTAATATTGATTAGTCAGCCAATTCTATTTTTTTGTTAAGACTTTGGATTGAAGAAACAACCTCAGGGCCCTCGAGGACATCTGGCTCAATGCCAGGCACAAATACCACATCCAAGGATGATGTAAGACTGATGCAATAATCAAATCTGTGACCTTTCAGATCTATCATCCTGAGCACTATAATAGAACCTAATAATAAAATATAAAGTAGGAGAACATGCATGCCAAAATATCACAGCTTCACTGAAATCCCCATACAAATTTCTGTTTACTTTTATTAGGGAACTGGATTATTATTATTGCATCAGTGTTGCTGTTAAATACATATTTTGTTTAATTCAGTGTTATTCCTCGTTTTTTCCCACCATCCTCCTGCACTCTGTCTCTGCTGCTGGCTCAGATTTCTCTCTGCCTCCCGCCACACACCGGACAGTCCACAGAGACCAGAGGCGCAAGCTGGCACAGGCAGCGGCTCTTCCCAGCCTCTTATCAGACAAGTGTGAGACTCAGTGTGACACACACACACACACACACACACACACACACACAAACTTGAACTTTCAAAATTAACAACAGCCAACAACGGGCTAATAAAAGTCATTGTGTGAAGGCCATATATTCCACCCCAACTGCCCCCTGGCCCCACCACCAACCAACACCCTGCATTTGTTTAGAGGTCAGTTCCATTGCCATCACCACATTCACACACACAAACAAACACACACACACACACACACACACTCCAGTCATTATCCAGCAAGCTGACACTTTTACACTTTTACAGCTGTTCTCCTACTGTGTGGATTGTGTAGATATGACAGTAACAGGCCTCTAACACCTTCACACACAGAAACACACACATACTGTACATACAACAGTTTACTGAACACTATGGTTTTAATTATTCATTAATACTTATCATGACTTAATATAATAAACACTGGTGATTATGTATCTTAATAAAATAATGCATAGTCTACAGGTGGAGAGTAAATGTAGAAATGTCAAGATGCCAAGAGAGCAATTACATTTCCAACTGTGCCAAGAAACTCTTCAAGAAATCAAACGCCTTTCGTGGGCAAGCATCGTTCTATTTTCTTCTGTCTGTCTGAGCATAAAAGACTTGTCCCTGGCACATAATGTAGCCTTTATTTACTTAACTATTTTTGAAGCCTTTGCCTCTTTGCTGATCTGAGCTTTCTTTTTTTTTGAAGAACAGAGTTTGGCAGTGGAGTCGAGCAAAGTACAGCAGCCAAACCACGAGCTGACTTTTGTCAGCTGCACTCACATTCAGCCTGCGTTCCAGTGCGCCGAGTGCCACATTTATTACACATTATATTCAGAGGGGTCTAAACAGACTGCAATGCACAGAATACCAATGTTAAAGACACACACACACACATACACACAAACACCTCTGTGTGTGCTGCGATTGTTATTCAGCTCATAGTATTCTAATCACTGTGCAAATGGAGAGCGCCCGAACAAGGTAAACACTCCCATAGATACTGAAGTGGCTACAGCGACAACAATAGACCTGTTGTGGAGGCCTTAACCAGCGCACTCACTCTACTTCTACTGTTACAGCAGCTGCAGGTAAACAAACTAGCAGGGGCCACCAGGGGTGGAGGCGTGGGCTCTATAGAGAAAACATTGATATGCAATCTGATGAATCTACAGCAATTACTGCTCCCACACACACTCAGGCAGCAGTGTGACCAAGGCTGCAGGGCAGAGAGGCTTGGAAATCCTAAACATCTCTGTAGGGGGGTGTTATTAGGACGGAGAGGGCGGGTCCAGCCGACCTGTCTTTCTAACATATATGATACCAGAACAGCCGATCACGAGTCGCGAACAGAAGGCGACAGCAGCACTGAACTGAAGCCTGCTGACACTGATTCAATCACACAGAGCTGCAGTTCAAAAACATATCTATGTTGGCCATGTGCAGCGGGGAAACTGAATCACCGACTCAGGGTCAGACAAGCAGACCAGGATCTCTGTGCCCTGTTGATCCATCATCATGTGACCCTCAGGTCTAGCCACTTAATCTGCAGTCACATGACTTCACCGCTGCCCGGCGTTCTGTAATCTCTCCATCTAAAGGAGAAGTCAAATATGCACAAATCCTCTTAGAACTTTCCTGGAGGATTGTATAACTCTGGAAAACTCTCCCTCGTCTCCCCCTCTTTTTCTCTCTCTTTCTTTCACGCTCTCACTTTCTGTCCTCGCTGTGGCCGCCGGGGCCACATGGGGCTCCGAACACATCAGCTCGGAGCCAAATAGTCTGAGACAGAACAACAAAAACAAGGAGCGGAGAGGAGAGCTCAGACGGCCTCTCATCAACGAAGGTAACAACGATACCTGTGAGTGTGTGTGTGTGTGTGTGAGTAGAGACAGAAGGCGATGGGGGAGGTGGTAAAAAGTGATGCTCAGTTGTTGCCCTAACTTACAATTAGTATGCTGATTAAAGCCCTGGAACAAAAGGCTTTGGAATGCGAGTTAACATCCATCACAACAACTCTAATTAGCTCGTCTTTGACCAGACTCCAGGACTGGAGACAGAAAATGGAGAAGCCTCAAAAGAAAAGAAAACTAAAATACGGCCTCTCATAAAAGGTTTCTCAAAAGTAAAAAAAAAAATCTAATAAAAAAATATGGCTTTTAGATACTTTAATTTACAAACGTTTGAAGAATACACAGTGCATTTTCATGTGATTCAAAGAGACGAAGCAAAACTCAATACTCTAATCTCTCCCTTCACACGTCCTTCCAGGCAAGCAGGGCATTAAAGAGATGCCAGCATAAACACTGTCCCACCCTCCTTCACAGCTCTGCCTTGTCCTCCCTCACAGGGTCACAAACCTGCCTCTAACACTCGAGAAGAAACTGTCACAGACATTAGAGTGTCAATCACACGCCTGAGGAAAACAAGAGGGCAGCCATGCCGTGGTTAGTCGTTTTCCTCCAGTTTATTTGTTTTATTCAACCCCCAAAAATACTTGTTGGATTTTCAGTGACGTTTAAATAGATAGAAATGGGTTTTCTCTGCAAAGAAGTTAAAATACTAACTTGTGAGTATATAAGCAATAAAGTAAACTGTGATAATTTTGTTATTTTGTAACTGATCCGTCCTCAGATGTATGAAATTGTCGAAATCTTAACACTCCTCATTGAACTGTTGGCCCTTTGTGGATTTTTATCGTCTGACGTCGAGTTAGTTAAGCACAAGGATTCTAAAGAAAAGACACCAAACCTCTAAAGTCAGGTTTAAGGGGGGGTCAAACTTGACGGACTTACACCTGCCCTCTAAAAACAAACCCAACAAATGGTTGCCCCCCGCCCCTCCCATCCCATCCCCCTGCTGCTGCTTACCTTCAGGTTCCAGAGTGGCCTCCTCCTCCTTGGTGGCTGTGAGGGGCGGCCGGGCCACGCTGACCGTCAGCAGGGACAGCAGGACAGCGGCCAGCAGCCAGGCCCACGAGGCCATCCCGTTAGTGGGGGCTAGCGCTCCCCATACCACCCTTCTCCACCTCCCCCTGGACACTGATCCCATCTGAGGGGGTCCGCCCAACCATCAACTGCAGCCGGGCTCGGCCTGTCACTCACTGGAATTCACCCAATCACCTGGGCTGAGAGGGTGAAAGACAGAGAGAGGGACGAGGAGGAGGATGATAGAGGACAGAAGTGTAAAGAGGTGACAGAGAAGAAAAATAGTAAATACATGTATATCAGTCTGACATAATGAATTTAATTAAAAATACATTTTCAACACTGCCTTTCCTCTTCGTTATACTCTTTTTTACAAAGTGAGACGGAAAAAAAGGAACCAATAGAAAGCAACAGAGACTGTGTTCCAAAATGCTGTCAAACAAGCCATGCCACAGACATACCGAAGCTGTGAGGCACCAGCAGTGAACACACAACCACCCTGCATCCACCTTTACCTCCAATCTACATTCATATGCATTGAGATGTGTTTTATAGAAGCAAATTAAGAGACACTGGAGATTTTTATGGCTTTTTATTCCCAGTCTAACCAGTTCCAGAGTCACACGATGCATTATTACCCAAATACCCAACTTTATTAAAACTGTCTACTGCATTTTTTAACACCCTGCTTCTATTATTTATACTAAAATGTCATAACAAACAATATTCTTGACTGATGAGTCATAAAGTTGGTGGAAAATACAGATTTTGTTCATGCGCCAAACCTGTTGCAGTTAACACTGCTGCAGCCGTGTTAACTGCATCTAAGGCTCTTGTTGCATTATCGTGATTTACAAATAGGCTTCAATTGCACGTTTGCATTAATGGGACATACACGCACGCACACCGATCTGTTTTTCCAGACATCTGCGGATCAACCGTGCTTCAAGTGTCTCTGGGGGTTTGGAGAAGTCACGCTCTCCTGCGCCCCAGCTGGACGTATCGATCGGTTTTACCCGTGAAAACACATGTATTTTGACTTTTGGTTCGCGAACCTGAAAACGTGCACATCCTGGTTTTCCTCTAACATTGAGCCTCAGGGGAGCGCGCACATGATGTGGAGGTGAATCCAGGAATTCATCACTTCAGACGCCACAACTTTTTACGCACCGGGTTGACTTTGCAATTAATGGAGCTAATTCTGCATCAGCTCAGACACATGCATCATTACTGAATTATTAACCAGTCAGTGCCTGATTCAGCCTTAACGCTTATAAACTCCTGCAGAAGGAAAGTGACCAGAATTACCCAGAAACCTCTGCACGGTTTACATCAATTGCAAGTGTGAAGTGACGGCAGCAGGACAAAATAAAATATTATTCTACAGGTTGCCTATTAAATATATAGGAACCAACATGTGGGAAAGAAAACGTCTCCTGATAAAAGTATAAAAACAAAAAGTTAAAATAATGTCTTGAAATTTGACCTGGTGTTCTCCTCATTGCAAAACGTCCCCCACGTTGCTGACATGACATTAGGACACATGAGGGACTTTGCTCCATACATGACCACCGCCTTCACTTCAACCCGGGGACTTTGAATGAAACCTCCTTTGGCACCGACTGAATTCCCATTGAAATTCAAATCAGTTGGCTTCTCCCACAATGGGGGCTCATTTGGAGCCGCTCAGTGATTTAGGGCTCCGGCACCAAGCAGTGAAAAAACAACTGCGGTCACGGGATAATTGGCACCATAAATGCAATGTAAGAAAATTAAGCAAAGTAATAAATAACCAGGACACTTGTTAATGGGTCCTAAAGTGATGGCGCAAGGTGCCGGAGAAGCCCCCGCCCTTCAGAATAAACATGGGGATTCATTGAATTAACTTAATTACATTTTTATAATGGATGATTTAAAAAAAACAAGGGATATAAATTACGCACAATGCGTTATTATTAGTTGGATGCAAATTCAAGAAAATCTGTAATGATTAACTTTGCATCGACCTGTGAGAAGTCTCCAAACTGAGTCATTGTTTAGAAAATTGTGTAAATTCAGATGTGAATAGTAAATAGTTCTCAAGCGTACGGAAAACATAGCACAAACCCCAAAAGGCGCAAAGCCGTGTTTACTATCACGTCGCCTATTTGTCATGACAGCCGAAATCCTGACAGATGTGATAGTGGAGAAGCTGAGGACTTTTTCCCAGCTGAGCTTTATCGTAAACAAGACAGAAAAAAAACAGGCTTCTTACCAGGGAGGACTAAAATCGTGGAGATCTCTGTTTTGGCATGCACAGTTAAGGGAGGCGAGAGCATGAGCCGAATCCTGAAGGAGGAATGTCTCCAACTCCACAATGCACCAAAAAAAATCTGCGAGGCGCTGCCTTACTTTCAGCTTTCTATTCCACAGTCAGCCGGCATCGAGTCAGATCAGAGGTATAATCCACACCGGAGGAGCAGTGTAGTCCAGTGCCATGCAAAGAAATCCCACTTATCCTTCGAAAACAGCTCGGAAAACCATAACTGCTGCTGTCCCCCCCTCACTAACTTTCCTCCCCGTCACCAAGTTTCCTTCAGTGCGCAAAACATGCCCCAGTGTTCCAGCAGCGCACTTGTCAAGTTAAAAACAGAAAGTTTGCAGCTACAGAGGAGGTGGTGCGAGGGTGAAAATAGTTTGTCCGATGCAAGATGACATAAAATCCATCAGTGTGCGTCCCCCCGCTGGAGAGAGCGTCTTTCGCGTCTGCGTCTCCTGTTCCGCCGACAGTTCCTCGCTCCGCTTCTCAGACGCTTTGTCAGGTTTACTAGGTTTTTTCTCCTCCTTACGTCTCCACACACTTCCCTCCTCCTCCTTCACTCCAGTGGGTGTCATCCCACCCCCCAAGCACCCCCAGTGTAATTCGAGCCGCTTCCTGCAAACTGCAGCGCTGTTCCCTGTCCGTCCTGCGCCGCGCTGCGCTGCGCTCAGTCAGTCACAAGTTGGTCTAATGCGAGCGAGGGCCCCTCCGTATAGTCCCAGTGTGTCAGACCGCAGAAACAACGCCCCCCAGTGGTCGAGGCATGACACGTGCGGGAGGGGGCGCACTGATTACGCACACACAGGGACGCACAGAGCATCATCCACAGCGTTCAGCTCATCCTCTGCAGTGCAGCCCATGTTCAGAACATAGTTCTGCAGTTAAATTAAAGACAGGGACACATATGACTGTCAAATAAATTCGGTATCAAGGTTATTTTAAACTGTATCTAAAACTGACAAAATATCTCAATTATAAGCAGCAAAAGGAACTTTCATATATTTTTTAATATATAATCAGAGTAAAATATCATCAGTTTTAAGGTGATTTGAAACTACTCAATCAAATATAGTGAAAGGCCACAGTAATGATAAAATAATCATAATAAACAGAAAAAAAACAGTTCATGAGTCAAAATATTTCATTACAACTATCAATATACATTTTTATTTACAGCAGCTACTTATAGTTAGATTTATGTACTACTTCCCACCAGTAAGATGCTGAGACATCAACTAAAACAGTAGCTGCAGCTTGTAGCACTGTAGAGCAGGTCAGGCTTGTGTCTTGCTCAGGGACACTTTGGAAAGACCATATTCTCAGGTATGTTATCATCTGTCATCCACTTTAAGAGATGAGTGAGGTCTGCCCTATGTGTCATATTCTCAAATCAACACATCAGCAACATACAGGAATAACCTGATTTATTGTTTATTGCACAAATGAAATAAAATTCCCTTACATATGTATTGTGTAATCGGCTCCACCCTCCTGCAACCTGCTAGATAAATGGTATAGATTATGGATGGAGGGTGTTACAAGAATATTTATATATATATATATATATATATATATATATATATATATATATATAACACCTACAAAAAGAGTGATATATGAAGCCAAAACACTGCAAAATTAATTTTATTTAGTATGACCAAAACATTACCACAGCTTCAAGCACCTATAACAGTTGGTTAAAATGGCTCCACCTCCAACGGTAACAAATTAAATTGCTGCCTACATTCTAATGCATCAGTAAGAATATAATGTACAATATAATGTAAAGTAATAATGCTTAATTCTCACTTTTGCAGGACCTTTGCTTGTAACAGATTTTTTACAGCATGATATGATATTCACAACATCCAGTTCTGCACTCCACAGAACCTGTGAGGACAGGTTGATGTAACATGAAAGCACTGAGCAGACAAGAAGACAAGACCTGAAGTTGAAGTAAAGGATAAAAAGTTCGATTTTCTGGTACTATGCATTGTTGCAGTTACAGGAATAAATAAAGGCTGGCCCCCTGCAGCTCGTCCCCCACTGCTTCAAGCTGTCTCATGCATTGGTTCAAGTGCTCTGAAAGAGACACAGGGGAGGCTGGAAGACTCTGATCTCCACAGAGGTTTTATTTTTGTCTCGCTTCCACTGCTGAAGTCCTCTTTTTTTAAACAAGGGAAGGAAACTGCTTCCATTCATTTTGAAAAGAGGCACTAACAAGAGTTTTTTTTTTGTCTGAGGCAAAGGTTTGACCTGTGAATGGAGAGTTCTACGTCTGTTTTTCTCTCTTCTCCCATCCCTGCCTAGACCAGTAAAGCCATCAGATAACAGTGGAGCTGACAGTTTGGCTGGAAATAAAGAGAGAGAGAGGTACATTTGAGAGTATAGTGCAAAATACCCCCCACTGTTTCTCCCTCTCTTTCCTCCCTTCACATTAGTCTATTTCCAACTGCCCAATTTATTTTCCACTGCTCAGGCGTCTCACAATTGAGAGAAACCTCATCAAGCAGAGTCTCATGGGCCTTTGACTGAGAACTGTGTGGACCCAGTGGCCATGCACTGTGGTATCCGTCAACCTGTCATTGTCTCTCTTCATCTCCGATCTTTTCTTCAGTCACCCCTCTTCCTTAATCCAGCAGCCACAGGGTTTGGAACGAGAGGAGAGAGTGAGAGGAAATGAAAGTGACAGGCTAATAGCTCGCCATCAGCATCGTAGATCAACATATTGATCCCTGTGCCTGTGTCGATAGAAATCACCAGGAGCGCATGCAGCGGATTGGTTGTGTCTCTGATGGCACATGTTAATGGTGAGAATTCATGTTATTACTGTGATGATCGAAGCTGCGAGTGATGTTTGAGTCGCTCAACTGTCATTAAACATACCTCCTGCTGTTATGCAAATTTGAGATGCCGTTGAAGGGAGCTAATCAGCAGTGAGCCGTTACTTCCCTTTGTCCATGGAGCAGCTAATTGGTTCACAATTAAATCCCCCACAAGTGTAACATGGGTTGTGGTTGCTGATGCTTCACTGTACAGAGTGATTTACTGTTCAGGTAGAGTTTAACACAAGGAGCTTCTTTTCACTTTCAGTTAGAAGTACGTGTTATCACTTTTCAAATCATGGTCCAGTTGCCAACTAGAATTGACTTTACAGTGAGGGAGATATCTTGTATCCAGCAACTAAACTTTCAAAACAAAGTATTATTCATATGCTGTGGCTCTGGTGGAGAGGGTCATCCACTAACCAAAAGGTCTGTGGTTCGATCCCTGGCTCTTCCAGTTTGCATGCCGAGGGGTCATTGGGCCATATAGTGAACCCCAAATGCTCCTGCATGGCTGTGCTGACTGTGTATGAGTGATATGATAGAAAAAGCGCTCTATGAATGTGAGGGTGAATGTAACTTTACTGTAAAGCTCTGAGTGGTCAATGTGACTGGAAAAGCTACTGTCCATTTGCCATTTACTATATTTTATGAGCATTGCAATGAGACAGCGGTAGACGTGGTTAATTTAATTTTTGTGAAAAAAATTCAAATTGTTATTTAAGCATCTCAACAACTTTTGGATGAATGGCCACGCTCATGGTGCCCAGAGGATGAACCCAAATTACTTTTGTGATACCCGTCTTAACTTTTCTCTTACTGTCACCATGAAGTCACAATTATAATTCTTACATACGCCTCAGATGTAGGCCTACTTTGTGTTTGGTGCTAATTAGCAAACATTAGCATGCAAACATTAAAGATTATACACTTACGGAGCTGTTAAAATAGCTGTACTGGTGGTGTGTCTTAGATGAATCTATTTTAAGCAGCCAGGGCAAACATGTCCCAACAGCTCTTTATTAGTCACACCATACAGGCAGTAGTTGTGGTGTACGCCTCTATCGGATTCAACCATCCATGGTACAGTGTTTTTTGTTACTGCAGTGGCACACGCAATCCACTGGGCCAGAACAGCAAAGCCCCTCCCTCCACACTATCTCTGTACACTATAGATGTGTAACTAAGATATTCAGTGTTGAAAATCACTGCGTACAAAACAGACTTGTTCTCCTCTGAAAGATCCTTCTTTCTCCTTCCTTGAGGGTGCTGCACTTAATCATGAGTGGCAGCGATATGTTATTGTAACTCAGCTTTGCCAAATCTTAGAGAGACTTCTCCGTTTTCTCCCAATATATCACTGACACTATATAATTAACACATCAAGCGTAGGTGAGTCATATCCTGTGCAAAATATGAAACAAATGCGTGGAGCTGCTTGTGGTGGGGGTGCATGGGGGAGATTGTAGTAAGAAGTAGATGCATGCCTTGGGGTCTAATTTGAACCATATAGCTCCTCTGCAGCCATGTGGTGATGTAAACGAACCCTGACAGAAAGTGCCAGGAGAAAGTTTTGGTGTTCAGTTGGACGGGAACAGGATTCAGTAAAAGGAGCACAAGAATCGGGTTTGAAAAGAAACAAACTTCTGCGAAAAACCTCTTATTCTCATCATGTGGCCACTCTTGACATCTCCTGCATCTCCCACTCGGCCCGACATGAGCCATCTCGCACAGCAGAGTCTGTCTTTTGGCCCAGGAGGCATCACTCCATAAGTCAGGTCCTCCTCCTTTAGTGTCACTGATACCATAATGAGCTCGTCCAGACAACCAGGCCTCCACTGTCGTCTCCTCCCCCTCAGCAGGTAACAGAGAGCAGGGATAGAGGGAGTAGATGGAGGGGGAGTGGAGGGTCAATCATCCAGATTCCTCACATGTTTCCACCTCAGTACTTCAGAGTGTTTCAAATAGCTGGGATGCCAGCAGATTGAGCTCGCTGTGTAGCTCAGCTAAAAAGGGGAGCACGAGGAGAAGGTGGGTGGAGGCGATGCTAACGTTTCCAGCTTGAAACTGGGAGTTTGGTCGTATTACTGTAACTCCCTGAAGCTGCACTGGGAACCAGCAAACTGCAGTACATGGGTCAGAGACCGCAGCGGTGCAGTGTGAGTCCTGATCAAAATGTCTGCTTTCCCTCCCACCTGACTGGCACCATTACACCCAATAAAAATAACACAGAACTTTTTTTTTCAAGGGAGAAACACAGAGAAATGCTGAGTGGAACTGACAACTTTATAACTCTATAAAATGAAGGATGAAGAGAGTTTTTTTCGCTGGCATTTCAAACTTTGACAAGGATTTCTATCACTTCTTTATTGTCCTCAATGGACTTCATCTTGTGCTCAAACTGTTGTAGTTTGGTAGTTTCTTCAAGCGTTAACCACATCTGCTTAATATTCCTTACGTCATTGCAGAGCCAGAGATTCATTAGTTCACATAGACTCAGACTTAGTGCTGCTACCAGCGTGAAAGAGCTTGGACAGAAAAGCTACTTTTGTCGCTGTTGAAAGTCTTTCTGAAAAAAAACATCAAAGCTTTTACATTATATCATTTCAAAGCACAAGTTCATCATGTGGGTGAGTGAGTGTTCGGTGCAAAGATTGAAACCACTCAAATCCAGGGCACTTGAGGCAAAGAGCTAACCCAGTTTTGTCCAAGGGAACCAAATTTGCCTAAAAGAACTTCTAAAACTCATCAAGTACAAATTGTGAAGTAAAAACGTCGATCAGCATTTTACCTGGGGTTGTTTGCTGTACTGTTTCT